TTATTTATTTCAAATCAGAAATAAATTTATTTACAATTAGAAAATTTTACGTCTTTCTAACTTCTAAACTGACGAAATTCCATAGAAGTTTCCAACCCCCGTTCAATACTATTTTGGGTTGAATTTTCAAGTCTTAGATAGATAGATAGATAGATATATCGTTTATTTGTTTGTTACTAATCACACACAACATGTTCATAAGAATAGATAATACATAGAACAACATAAGATTTATAAAATTGTGTTATTATGTGTGATCTGCAGCAATACAAAAAGGTCGAAGCTCAGCGTGTAACAATGTTCAAGGAACAAAACACTGATTTTCAGCTTTAACCCATTTGAGGGTACGTGAAAATAATAATTAAAATAAATATAAAATAAAAAGAGCAATGTTTTTGGTGATTATCTGTGCAGTGTGTGTTACTGTGTGTCTTACTGTTCACCTATGTTACATTACAAAGAATCTATCTGCAATATTCCTAGATTTAGCGGATTCAGCTGTATGTTGATGTATGGGTCAGTCAATATATATATATATATATATATGTATATTATAAATTCCATTCAAATCCACCCAACCGTTTCATCACGATCGATTAATAAACATACAGAGACCTTTACAACCTTCATATTTAATATAAGTAAAATATTAATGCGGTAAACAGACTACAAACAAAGTAGTATCCCATTAATTCCAACTCGACTCAAAAACAAAATTATCTAAACAAAAACAAGTTAGTTGGTCACGCCGTATAATCCAATGGTCGCAAAGGAGTGGTGGACATTAACTACTGATTTATTTCCCGTGACCGTTGCCCTGAAAGTTTTCAACTGTAACGTGATACTGTATTGTTTTTTATTACACGTAACTTGTTATTTATTAACTGGACGGCGAAGGTGGTGTTTTTAACTTTCAGGTACTCGACTGTTCATATATTTGGCTATGATATCAATAATTCTATATACCATCATATTTTTAAACATATATCGGTATTAATCAAAGAAAGTATGGTGATATAAAAAGTAGATTCTCGTATGTGAATTACCTTTCAAATTGTCATGTTTTTTTTACATCTTCATAAATTGCTTTCAATATGGCACTTTTTGATTTTATCTTGATGAAATCCTGTTCCTAATTTAAATGTGAAAGTTTGTAAGAATGGATGTTTATTACTCTTTCACACAAATAGGTACAATATACTGTAGCTTAAAATATACGATACTGTATACAATGATTCACGTGAGGAATGCCGCGAGATATAGCTGATAATATGTAATAATAATAAGTGCTACATATTCACATCAATTACTTACTCCTTAAGTTAGGATACCTTTCATTGTACAGCTGGCCACCGACAGGGAGTTTGCCCTTATATAGAGGCTGGAACGGTCGCGCCTAAGCCACCACATAGTGCGCGGTTTCAATGCTTCCTCCCACGAATGCTCGGGTTATGGAATGAACTCCCAGTCAAGGTTCTACCAAAATACTACAGCATGGAGTTCTTCAAAAAACAGAATAAAGAAGTTTCTTCACAATCAGCAACGCGCGCGTAATATCCTTGGTATTGGGTACAGGCATTTAGCAATGGTAAGTGCTAACCAATAAGTGGACGGTATGCTTGTTTAGCATTTCTGCACTGTTGTCATTCTGGTGAATGTATTAATTGATATGCTTACATTTTGTCGAGTCTTATTAGAATCTAGTGTTGCAAGAAGCCAGCATACTGCCTTTTCTAGGATTAATTAAAATAGGATTAATTTAAATTAATTTATTAAATTAAAACACAATTATATTGTAAAATAACGTTGTATTTCGTTTCTTTAATTGTCCATGAAGCCATACGGATTACATACATCATTACGTACGTTTTATTAACACTATATAAACAGTTACTTACAAGAACATTTAAACATACATTAACATTTAACATACAATCACATTCATCTGGCACTCGATGTCACTCATGACATTTATACAAAATTAATTCCGCATTATTTAATTATGGTCAATTTATTTTCATTGTCACAAAATAATTCTTATGCAGTATGATTCATAACAATTATTAATTAAAACAATAAACAAATAATAACATAATAAAGAACTAACACGTTATGAAAATATTTAAATGTTATTAAATTAAATTAAATATCGAATAGTGTTAAGAAATTTAAAAATAAATTATGTATTAATTATAAGCAATATTATTATCAAATTATGTATAATCAATTAATTGTAATTAAAAATAACAAATATAGACATATATTTGAATGAAAATAATATTAAAAAATTATATTTTAATAAACATAATTATATTAATGATATATTTAAATTAAATCAAATAACTAAAATCATAGATATTATCTACGCAAATAAATATACGCAATATATTCTATAATTCTTTCTTCATCATAAAAATTAATTTATATTAATATAGTCAGTGAATTGTGTTCGATTTTCCAAAGATAATTTTAGTATTCCCCCAAACGTTACTATTTCAGTTTGAAGCAATGCTAGCTCAAAGATTTGAAGACACAATATCAAAACACGATTTCAGTTTAATTACAATCATATTTATATCAGAGATTATTTTTTTTAAATACATATAGTATATACGAATATTAGTTTAGGGTGCTTTAAATATAAAATACAAGAACACCGAATCACGTTTTAATAAGAAAGTTACAAGCTAAATCTCGAAAGAGCGCAAACTAGATATTACCAAACTGATGACCTTAGATGCATATAATGCCTAATAGTTAAACACCCTGTATGATCCATAACGTGTCGTAAATACAATTATATAAATAGCATGTACATATTATGCTAAGAGATATAATAAATAAATAGTGACAAATACAGGGGTTTAGAAGATAAACAAAATGTTTTCAATTAAAGAATTGGAAGAATGAAAAAAAAATTTAAATTTATGTAATAATTATTCTAGTAAATAAAAAAAAAATAGTCAAAACTGTTTCCAAATGAGATACAGTTTTATTCGCATACAATTAGGTTCGTAACAAAATTTCTTTATGTGTGTTTATATAACGGATTGCATTATTAGCAATTTTTTAAAACGGTGCATATAGTTATTTTTTATTACAATACCGATCGCCATTGACAGGGAATTCTTCCTCACATGCTAGAAACTAGTAGTCGCGTATAGTTTTAAAGAAGTTTCCTTCTGCAAACACTTAGGCTGTAGAATAAAATTCCAGCCGTGGTTTTTCTTTGAGAATACAGTATAGAGTTCTTCAGAAATGGTATATAAAGTTTTCTGCAGAGTCGACAATGCGTACGTGACAGTCTTGATGTTATAGGCGTTTGTACAAGTAACCATTTATTATCAGACTTATTTTAATGATCTATATTATTAAATTTAAAAAAAAAATTTACTAGGTTAGTTTAGAATCCAAAAGGTCGAGGATTATAGGTATATATTTTATCATTTAAATTATTTAATATCTAAATTAAAACATGTAAAGTACACATTTTGATTCATTATTTCATTAACGTAAAATAATTAATAATTATTATATTAAAGTAACCAATTATTAAGTGAAACAAAATTGGTAGTGTAACAATTGTAAGTAATAACCGCCTATAGGAGGTTAGAGGAACTTAATGGTCGAGAGATAGGTAGCAGCGTCCCTCTTAAAACATCACCAAAGCGAAACTGCTGTTGCCAACCCGCCTGTCAAGCGTATCGACTACTAGCAGGACGAACAGAAGAGGCCTATGTTCAGCAATAAATAGTTAATGGTTGAAATAGTAATAAAAAAACTACCTATAATTAACCAAGGAGTTACCTATAAGTAGTTACAAATTCTTGCTAAGCATTATTATAGTACTTCTCAAAAACTTAAAAAAAAAAAACTGTTAGATAATTATAAAGAAAATATGTATTATAAAATATAACAAGTGTAATTGGTTGTCACAGTTGGAGTAAATTTATAATTAAAAAAAAAAGTTTGCAAAGGTAGAAAACAGAAGAGGAAAATCTGTTTTAGATTTCTCATAACTCACTTGAGCAGGTATCATCGGCTTACCTTATTCTGCTTAAATCAATATTAAAAACTTAATAAATTACTCTTTAATATCATTTTCCAAGTAAATGTCCACTTGATTGCGGAAAAATAACAACTTTCTATATTAAAATACGAAGGTTGAAGATAGAGAATTCGCAGAACTGAAAACTTAAAGCTTTCTCTTAAAACACCTTTCGAATTCTAAGAACAAGATTTAAGTTTTCTGCTGACAGTAAATGAATTATTTCTCAGATGGATGTTTTAAAGAAAAAATATAGCTAAATGGGCTAATAAATATATTTTATTAGCAAATTTATTTAACAAAGAGCCAAATGGGCTCTTTGTTATTAAATATTAATAAAATGTTAGAAAATAAAACTACGAAAATATATCACTAATAATACTGACAAATCAAAATAATTATTAGATCTAGTAATCTAGCGTATTCTTAATATTAATTTTCAATACTAGTTGTATCAATGAAAAATAACAAAATATATTTAATTAATTATTTTTAATCATATTTACAGTGTTATATTAAATATTGTAATTCCTTTTTCCTTAGGCATATTCGAATATATGTATGAGTAGTATATTCTATGATTTTCTATTTATAATTGTGGTATAATAGACAAATATTCTTGTTCATGGATTTGACGATTATTGGCTTCAAGGAATTATTAAACGAAATACAATGTGTACCGTTTAATCATTATCATTAATATTAGAACCATATTATATCTTCTTATTAAGTAAATGGTTAATAAATATTGAAAACAAAAAATATATATTATATATATAATATATATAAATTAAAAGAGAAGACTTTTTTAATAAAATAAAATTAATAGTTAATTACTAAAAATCTTTATATATATATATATATATATATATATATATATATATATATATATATATATATATATATATATATATATATATATATATATATATATATATATATAAAGTTTTAATTCGTCGAAACCAGATCGCCAACGATGCCATGACTAACTACTGTTTTGGTGTTGATCCTTTTGCGGGCCTGGACGGACTTTTTGTCCTCAGGAACTTAACCTAAACTCGTATAATAAACATCAATTTATATTTATACATTCTCTGTAAAAACTAGGTTTTTCGACAATCAATCTTATATTCTCTGATGAGAAAACTTATATTGTATGGTAAATCCAATACTATATCCTTTATTTAAAAACGTCCCCGTCATACTCTAGACTGTTTCAATTATTCAGCCTAGCTATAACTTCAGTATATTTAAAACTAAATTCCTTTCGCATCGAATCGTATGTACTCGTATATACAATTTTAAACAATTGGATTAATAGCGTATTTCTGCTCATATAGTCGTGTTTATTTACAAAATTGTTGTTTAAATTGTTTTTGGTTACGTCATATGTGAGCCGTTTTGAAAGTTTCTGAACCTAATCAACAATATAAAAGCAAGTCCCATTGGTGTCGTAAGAAGCAACTATAAGGGAACTTAATGGTCGATAAATGGGTAGCGGCGTCTACTTTAAAACATTACCAAAACCTGCATATGCCAAACCGCCTGCAAATAACCAGTTTTGTCATAAATAAAATCGGTTTTTTATCGAATACAAATTAATTATAGCACTTACAGGCAGTAACGGATTTTGCATAAAATATTCAACTTGTTGAAGATTCAATTGTTTAAGTTATGTATCTATTAATTCAGAAACTTTCAGCACAACCTAAGGAAATATAGTTAATTCATATGAATGAACATGCAGTTTATATACAATTAAGTTGAAATATTACAGCATTTCCAACCACTTATATTAACTATTTCACCTAAGTTCTAAACGACATCATCTAGCATTTTCAACTCTACACCCATTCCCATGAAATGGTGAATAATATTTATATTTACTTACATGTATATCACTTTCTTAGTTAAAATACGTCTAGACTTCATCCTCGATTAATATTAGCACAGTTATTTATATATTTGGTTTTAATACTATAATATTAACTATTCCATAATATTCACATCCAAGCTTAAAACAACTTTTGGTAATATTAATATTGACTTTGTTGTCATGTCCCTAAGGTTTACATTAAAACGAACACTTCGGTTTATTTGTAAATGGATACAACATTAAACGAAATAAAGCAAAGTGATTAAACAAAACGTATTCGATTAACGGACTATTATTGCCTACTCTATCGCTAGATGAGGCCATACCAATGTTGACTATTGTAAACACAATTTACTGCAATGCATATATCATTCGACTGTTATTGTTGTGATTGAAAAACATGGTAATTAAGTACTAGGCCTTCATATGTATTCATATAATGCTGTGCTGACGATATTACAGAGATGTGGTGTAAAATTTATAATATCTAAATTGTTAGACTTCTACTGGAATTATCTAATTGCTATTTATGAAATCAAAAACTAATATTGCGTAACGTTCAAAATCTTTGGCAGGCACTTTGGTAAAGATGTAATGTAAAGAAAAATAGTACCAAGGATGTGTGTGACAATTGACAAGTTGTTTTAGTTTAGAAATATTGAAATGTACAAAGTCAGATACTAGAATGTTTCAATATAGATATCTACGTACTTGTTTCTTCGAGATAAGAGATACAAAGCCGTAAGTATTAAATGTAAGTGCTAAGAGCTTGCCTAAAGTCGTGGAGGGCGGCTAAGAGTTGCGGAGCCGTTGGACGAGCAGACGCCGACATTGTCCAGCACCAAGACATTAGGCCATACCTGATAATACATATATTTTTACAAACATACTGAAAATAACACAAACCTAGTCATAAAAGCAAAATGTAGTAAAATCGAATAATTTGTTATAGTACGAATATTTATAATTATAGACACTAATAACGAATAATGGAGTAGAAGGAAAAATATTTAAACTTTATAATCGGAGACGAAAATGTAATAAATCAATTCACAGCTGCATAATTTTTATCAAATATATGAATTGAAATGATAACAATTGCAATAACCAGAATTAAGAGACGTTTAATAAATTACTTACAATTCATCAGGACAATTATGAGGTTGAGATGGCCTGTACCCCCCATTAAGAAAAGCACCAACATCAGCTGCGTCTAATTCAGTTAGTGGAGATGCACCTAACGTAGATAATTCCCATAATGTTATACCTAATGACCACTGTAAAAGAAATAACATCCTTAAATTCATTGATAATAAAATCATTATTCATAATACTTTAAAATGAAAAGTAAATTAAATAAATACTATAAATACAACTGACTGAAATCAAAACTCGGAAAAAAATATTTGCATGAAAAGAAACATTTAACACACTATGATAAAAGTCGATCAATATAATATATTATTTATAAAATTGTAAAAAAAAAGGATATTAAAAAGCCTATTTTGCAAATAAATATTCATACCACATCAGACGCAGTAGTGTATTGGTTCTGCAACAAAGTTTCAGGAGCCATCCATTTCACCGGTCTATTTTCGTTATCTCCAAGACAATGATAATCGTCAGGAAATAAATCTCGTGATAGACCATTGTCTGTCACTTTCAGTCTCAATTTCTCATCGACTCTGAAATTTAATCCAATATTAAGAATAATAATTACTTTAAGTATATTAAGAATCTTTAGAATCGACAAAATCATTCTAAGTATTAATATATGTTATAATTGTCAGTTACTATAAATCTAATTATGTTGTAATTAATAATAATGTACGATTAATAACTAAATTACAACTTTCCTTTACAGTAAATATAAACATCATATTCAAAGGAGGCAAACATATTACAAGTGTGCAACTTCAAAATAATCGAGACAGCAATAATATAAAAGCAAGTTATTCAGAATATTACGAAGAAATTGTATTAGGGGAAATTACAATCTCTTGGAATTGTAACAATGAAAACATTCGAAATCTTACATGCAGTTTCTGGCAGCGATATCGGCGTGTACTAATCTCTGAACATGTAAGTATGCTAAACCACAAGCTACTTGTGCACCCAAATCCACCAATTCTCTTGTAGCTGGTGCGGCTTGATGTCCCAGTCGACAGGATGTAAGAAATCTTGGAAAAAATAATATTTTGATAGATACTATTTTATGTGAATTAATAAATATAATTTTTACATCGTTTTTTACAACGTACGATAATTAATAATTGTAACAGTATAGTAAAAATTATTTTTTAATATGGCAAATTAAATAGGTTTCTTATTAACAAAAAAAAAACCTTGTTTTTATTCTATTTTTTTAATATTGTTTATCTTTCTTTCTGTCTTGTGAGCATTATTGATCTATTTTGTATTATAATTTGTATTTTAAATGTATTAGGTATTAGAATCAAAACCATAATTGTAATTTAGTTAGAACTTTTTTCAAAGTTTTCGTTTTTTTTTATTATTATTATAGTTATAACAATAAAATACGTTTCTGAAAGTGTTTCTACTATTAGAAAAGACCTGTTTATGGCAAAAAGTTATGTAATTCAGAAATGGTAAAAAAACAACCATTAGGACTTTACCTCTTAAGATTAGAAGAGTGTGAGACACAACAATAAACTAAAAGCGGCCTTCTTGCTTCTTCAGCACAAGCCGCCATAGGCGCAAGCACATTAGCATGAACTAGCCCGCAGAGTCGCAAACCTTCAGCAACCAGCAAAGCTGCTTGCATTGCCGACGCCGCTTCTAAAAATATTTTTTTATTATGTCCACAAAGCTTTCGTAGTTTATTTCTTTTGAATGAAATTTAAGCATTTTCAAATTCTGAGTACTCGATTTTGATTAAATAATTATCAAATAAATTATTTTCGCGTTATATACCACAATTTTAAGTGTTCCAACAGTATGTTTTGTGATATCCATTGTGTTCTGCATTTTATCAGATAGACTTTTAACTTATTTATCATTTGCGATTGTATATAAAAATAACTCGCCGGTTACATTTTTATTTTTACAACAACAAACTTAAAATACAGTCCTATATATAAACGTACATACCTGATACAGTTTTTACAATAACTTCTTCATACGTATCCTCCTTTTTAAATACTCCTTTATAAACCCTTCCAAATGTGCCTTCGTGGACTAATATTTCAAGACGTATATTTGCACGAGCAGTTGTAAGATACTGCAGTTGTTCTGCTGGATCAGTAATCCGGTCTTTAGTTGTTTGCTAAAAAAAATACTATTTTAATTTCCTTTTCAATATATAATAATATTATAATTTTATTAAAAATATTTGCATAAATAAGTTCAGATTTTTTTTATTTCAGAGATATGGTATAGTCGTATACCGTTTGTAAAATAGGTATATATGGTATATGACTATAAAAATTTAGATGCAATAATTCGTATTTTAGTTACACTTATATAATAAATCAGGTCAAGACAAAGAAAACCCGAAATAGAATCCGTTATTAAGCCATTTAGCCACGCATGATATACTTAAATTGATTGAATTGAAAATGCCTGCAGTAATGTAATACAATATTGGATATTAACCATTATCGATTACAGAAGTAAATCAAGTTAGAAATAGGATCCTAGGATATTTTGTAAAAATTGATTTTGCTTAACGATTGCCAATGTGTATTAAACAATAATCTGTAAATAAACACTTTTAAACACTTTATAGAACAGAATTGAATTGAAGTGTTCTATTAAAGTTTACCGCGTAGCACTGTAGGTTTATTGTCTTGTGTCTAGCTCCAGTGTCTGCAGGTGTACGAGTAGATAATTGCATTCAGTCGCCGAACGATATCCGTTAATCGAGTTCTGAGCGAGAGTGCTTCATCGTAGGTAATGGCTTTTTCTACTAGCAAGTGATGTTAGTGACATATGTTAACCTATTAGTGTTAGAGATGAAATAAAGTTAAATAAAATTGGTATTTTTAATTTTAGTCTGTGATGTGTATTTGCCTTTTAAAAATAGCAAGCTAAAATATTTGAATTTAGAACACAACCTTCTGTATCTATAAAAAGATTTTACTTAGATTATATAGATAGAACATCAAATGTCAAAAACAGGTCAAAATTTCTTCTGAACTAATTCGATTACAAATTTCCAAATCAGGTCGATCTCTTAAATTTGAAAATATTTTTTTTAAACGATAGAATAATACTTATTATACGAACGATTGAATTATATATATATATATATATATATATATATACACTATATTTTTAATAAATATTAAAATACAACAGGAATATATTGAACTTACCATGATACCATGATTGCCGTTTTCGTTTTTTTTTTTTTAATATAATAATAAAATAATTTATATTAAATATTTGTTTTATTAATGTGCACCAACAACTTTATGTATTTAGTTACGAGTTTCCTCTAAGAATACTAATTCATATTTCCTCTAAAGAATTTTCACAATGCCATAAATTTAGAGAGTAAAGGGAGAGCAGCCTCAAATTAAAAACTGTTCTCATCTTAGTCTTAAAATGAAGAGACACAAAATTAAATGGAATTGACTTGAATTTAAAAATTCAAAATCATCAATAATGCAAAATAGAGTACAGAAAACGGACTTAATATTGATGATAGATAATTTACTGATTATAATTTTAGAGCACAAATTTTTATTACATAAAAAACATACATTATGTGTCGATCCCGGCATAGAATGGACCACCTCTTCCTTTCTCGTGAGTATTGTTAGAGGTGAATATAAAAAACTTAAATGTCGAGGGATGAGCAGTAGCATCTCTCTTTAAACATCACCAAAACCGAACTGCGGTTGCCAATCTACCCGCCAAGCGTGGCAATTACTGTCAAAACTCCGCTTATGGGGGAGACTTATATTTAGCAGTGGACAGCGAACGGCTGATGCGATGATGATAATGCGTTAGCTGCGAAGAACTCCAATGTAAATTATAGAGAGTTTTGTTGCGCATAATATCCGGAATAGAAAAGAAATCATGAAAGATTATCAAGCTAAAGCGTCAATGAGCTTGCAATATAACTCGAACAGCCGGCAAATAATTGGAATAAAGACTTGCGAATGGATCACCTATTCGATATTTGAATATACTAAGTCAACTATATAAAGAAACAGACTCAAATATATTGCAGAAGATTAGTGGATTCTTTTTTTTTTTTTTTTGAGTTATAATGGAATGACAAACTTGCCAGCGTTATTGGCTTATACGCTGGCTTATTTTAATTGTAAAAATTGTAAATTGTACCTTATGCAACTGTATCTTTCTTAAATAAAATATTATTATTATTATTATTAGTTATCACATCCTGATGAATTCGATAAGAATTAATTACGGTAAATTCCAGAAAAAACCGGGTGCAGATCGACCTGATAAAGTATAATGCTAGCGTTAAGACTATTAGACCTATTGGGGTCTAAGAAGTACTTAGCTACTAACAATTACTTTCCCCCTACATCAATGGATTCAGAAGTGGACAATGAATGAATGAGATGATGATGATGATAATAATAATCATGCAATAATAACTACAATACGACAAGAAGGAAGAGAGGGTAACGAATGATTAAATTCCATGTTATTGGGTACCTACATTACTTCATATAATTAATTTTATTAATATAAAAATAATAAATGTCTTTGGCGTTTCGACATACCCTAACTATCACCCCATTAAAATGAACAGTAGTAAGTTTATTTATTTATTTTAATTCTTATTCGGCATACTTATTTTTTATTTAATTTTTTTTACATTGGCAAATTAAATACAAAAATAATTTCCAAAGCTCTTCAACGTCATTTTTATCTGTGGCAAATATTTTAACCCTTCGAAAGATCGCTAATTGCGTTACGTTTGTATCACCTGAAGGGGAGAGCGGGTAACTCGTTTCACATTGGATCCTTAATGAGGTAAAGGACTTATTTTATGCACAATTCATCCTGCTCGAGGAGAGTCGTAAAAGATTCCCTCAAAAAAGATGAAAATCTTTCTCTAATTACGAGCAGAAACTTTTTTTCTTACTTAGCTCTTCAAGATGGGTGGTCTGGTCGGGTCATTTATTAGTAGATAGTTATATATTAAAAATATAAAGGTCTAGACGTACAAAGTTTTCTTCATCTTTGTTAATGCAAAACTTTGTACATTATTGTCGGCTTTAAATTAAAAAAAATGTTATACTATAGATTCTAGACAATTGACAGGCATACCAGAAAGAGAGACATTGTACAAAAGTCGTTTGCTTGGGCACCACTGTCCCATTCGTGTTTCTACCGTAAAGCAGTTGTGTTTGCATGGTTATGTTTCGGTTAGAGGGTGGGATATGGCAGTAAATTTACAGGTTACAAAGGAATAACACCTGAATCCTCAAGAATGGCAACGCATGGGAGGTATCATGGGCGGAACAGTATACTCTGTTATGTCCACGGTACTGCTCATGTCTATAGTCGACGGTTATATACTTATATATAAGTGAATTATGTACTAAAGCATCAATACACAGTCATCGATATATATTTTTTGTATTATTACGCGGTGAACAACCCACGACCATCGGAAGTGAAGCAATGTAAATATTAAACACACATAGTACACACACACACTGATAGTACACAGAATAGATATTTCGAATATAAATTTAAATGTATCTACTTTGTGTAGTGATAAAAAGTCATATATCTTGGCACCACATCGTAATCTGGGCAACGCCATTAAATTGTTACATTATGGGATTGCTTAACCAAAGATCAACGGGAACCACATAATGTGGGTTAATTTATTTGTGATGGTGGCTAAATTTTAAGGTTTGGTGTAAGTTACGAGAAAACTAACATACTACATGCGAGCACATAATAAAGAGACTTCGTGTGGCGAAGGGCTAATGTCTTTTCTACTAATTTCAAAATTGAAGGAGGTTATCAATTCGGTTTTTTATGTTTATTAACACATAACTCTGTTATTTATAAACCAATTTGGAAAATTCAAATTATTTTTATATAAAAATATATCCTATATTTTCGAATTGGTCGCATATAAATTTTATCAATATCGGTTTAATTTTTAAATCAAAATCAAAATCTTAAAATAATAAAATAACCAAGTAGTTGTTAAATGGATCCTCCATTTTACATAACTACGAGTATAATATATTGAATAAAATTATATATACATAATTTTATATTGGTATATTAGTTGTACTATTTATCATAGATATAGAGTAGAAGCTAAAAAGAAATTATAGGCATAACTCGCTTCCGCTTATGACTTAAACAGTGCAGAACCGTTGTAAGTAGTAAACCAAAATAAACCACACACACACTAATTTATTACAGAACATACCTAATCCTAAACAACACGTTCCAATATATTATGCCAAATATATGGAAAAAAATATATTGTACTGAGTGTAATGGAGGCTTTGGACATTAGCCATGGGAATTAGGTTAAAATCCATCATGACACAAGTACCTATATTTTACTTCATAAAAAGCGACTCTAATTGTGAATCCTTACTAATATTATGAGTATGAATGTGAGTTTGAGAGTTCAGCCGTGTCAATTTAGGAAACCAATTTTCTACATCGTGCTTGGGTCTGGGTGTCCTGGATTGTGACTTCAGATGTTCTTTGCCTGATTCCTCATAATACATAATGGTAATAATTGTTTAAAAGAATCTTTATTTACTACTCACAAAGAATACTGTACAGTGTCTACTCATTTAGGTTATTGTCTAACGGGATATTACATTACATTATTAAGTTAACATAGTATCACATTGTGAGATATGTATTTTTGGTATTTTTAATTTATTTTTATATTTTAGAATAATCTCAATATAATGTTCAAGCTAGGATTCCTATCTTGAGCTTGAGCGTTTGATGTGATTGTTTAATTTCTTTTCTTACCTGAGAAACATGCGTAAGATTTGAAGCCGCATAGTATGACACCCGTGACTCTGGTTTAGCATAAATATGCTCTCCAATATGAGTTGTGGCATATGGCGAGGGAGATCTCCGACTTCCTATTGAGAAATATAATATTATTATTCGCCTTTATTCACTACGTAAGAACTTCATTTGAGTCAGTGGTTGCCTGTTGTCGCCTTTACAATGATCTCTTTATCCTTGATACGTTATTTGGATTTCAATATCCGTCTATTTACTATGTAAATATTAATATTATTAAATTATACAAGTATGGGAAGAGAACTAAAATATTAACACCGACTTGGCTAATTCTTTTTTTTTATATTTCTAATTGTCAGATTAAGGTACAAAAGTCGATTGCTTGGGTACCTCTGTCTCATTCGTGTTTTAACCGTAAAGCAGTTGTGTTTGCATGGCTGTGTTTCGGTTTGAAGCGTGTGATATGGCGTGAATTTATTGGGTACGGAGGGATAACACCTGAGTCCTCAGGAATGGCAACGCACGCGGTATATCATGGGCGAAACAGTATACTCTGTTACGTCCATGGTACTGCTCATGTCTATAGGCGACGGTTACCACTTTTCATCAGGTAGGCCGTCAGTTTGACATTTTCAATATGAAAAACTGCTATGCACATTATTAAGACATCTGCGAAGTGCTAGGTTCCCCTGATTTGGGAAAATTATGTAGTAAGGTAACTTACCAAAAGGAAATTTGTGTAGACTGGCTATAGTGGCGTACGAGCCTGTCGAACTCGGTGGTCGGCCTAGTGTATCGAGCCGCAGCAATACGTTCTGATGGCTGCCGTACGCAGCTGTTGTGTACGAAGTACTAAAACAAAAAGAGAGTCCAGTAACATTTTAACCGAGTAATTGTTAGTCATTAAAAAGAGGATATACTCTCGACTTAGTTATTAAAAAGAGGGTGTAAAAATTATTCGAATTTCTCAATTCGAATATTCATTTAATTTTCACCTACTTTTAAAAGAAGAAGATTCTCGATTCGATTGTATTTTTTTTTATGTCCGTCAGTTCTAAACCGATTTGGAAAATTCCTTATTTTATCTGAAAGGATATACTTACAGATTGGTTCTATAGATATTTTATGTAAATCGACTCAGAAGTTTAGTTTTTAAATCAAAATTATTGGTTTAGTCATAATTGAAGTGGATTTTTTTATATGGGACCCAATCTTTAATAATTATTACGTATATTATTCGATAACACCGATGAATTTTTCTTTTTTTTTATATTATTTTATTTAACCGTATAGTATTCCTATTAAAACATTACCAAAGTATAACTGTGGTTGCCAATCTGCCTGTCAAGTGTGGCAACTAATGGCAAACCCCCCTAATGGGGGGAAGGGATTGTTGGCAATGGAGTTTGACAGCCCCATTGCTAGCAATATGCCTTATTAGGTCGACCTCCACATGGTTCCCCCCGGAAACCATCGTGATTAATTCACGCGAATTTGTCACGATGGGCTGCCTCATTTTCACCTATCATCCTTCACTGGTGCCCCGCCGACGTATACCGATAGCGCAGGCGGGGTTACCATTTCATTATCATTCAATAAAAAAAAACCCTAATGGAGGAGGCCTATGTTCTGCAGTGGTCAGTTAATGGCTGATTTGATGATTATTATTTTATTTAATTATAATTATGGTTTAATTTTATAGTATTTAATATTATATTAGTTTTATTAATGTAAGAACTTGTTTATAAGTATGAATGATTTAAAACTAAATTATACATGATTTATGTATATAAATTATCATTTATATACTAAACACTAATTAACTAACTGGCTGACTAACCACTAAATGACGAACTCTAACCCACATTTAGAATTTCAGAAGTATAGGTAATATAGAAAAAGTAATAAAAATTGGCCCATAATTGACGACGTAATCACAAAAAAATTAATTCAAAAGTTTTATTTGGAAGCCACTCAAAATATAAATTGAGTTAAGCAGGAAAATCGTAATCATACTATTAAATATATAATTCTTTGAAATACAAAAGTACTGAAATAAAAAAGAATATAATACTTTCCTTGTTGTTATAAAATGATGCCAAAAATATACCTAAGTACTCGTTTCTATTTCCCTAATTAATTTATATACTTTTTTACATTATATTTCAAACATGAAATCTATTTACAGTATGTTTAATTTCCTTAATTTCTGAAAAATATTCTGTAATATAATTTTAAACATTAAATGTTGAGATAAAATTACCAAAAGTTTAATATTTATTAATATTTTGCTTATAAAAAAAAAAATTATCTCAATTCGTTATATTTCTTTTCAGAGTAAAATTTCACTTGAATTTTTTAATATGTACTTGTCGTCTATCTATGCGTATTTGTTCTTTTGTGGAGCAACATCTATTTGTTATTTATATTTATTTATTTATCTTTTAGCATAGAAAAAATCTTCCTTTTTAATAATCTGTAATACAATAAAATTGTAACTAGAAGATGATTGTACATGTGTTTGAGCCGTAACTTGGTTGCGATTCCGTTTTGCAGTGGGTGTTGCATAAGGCTCACTCAAATCTCGCGCGGAATGTCTGCGCGGCTTTTCTGCGCATGCCCGACGATGGCGAGGCGACAGCCAATAGGAACGAAGGGTTTGTTCGCGCGGTTCGGCGATGGCGACGCGCGCGAATTTCTCCGTTCGCAACTTCTATCGCTGCCATATTTTAATTAAAAGACTTATAAAAACCCAAAAGGACGTCGGTACCTACATTCAAGTTGCATCCTGAACGTATCTGTTTTGTGTTGTGACAAAAACTGTATGGATACTTGTACTATTCACTGGTGAAGTGTGTGGATTCTAGTGTCCTGTGATGCGAGACAGTTTACGTTGCTACGCATTCTCCATCTTAGAGCTGCTGCTGTTCAACCAACCGGCCTACGTGAAAGCATATCGGTACATAAGGTGAGTGAGTCAATTTATTCGATACTGCTGCAATAAGGGAGATAGCAACAAAGTTCTGAAGTGTAACCAGGGCCCCATACGTCTGACTCGGTAGATTTCTTGTATACCCAATTGTGGGTATACAATAAGAATTTAATAAGAATAATAAAGGCCAAAACAATATTTTTTAGAAATTTTGTCTGTCTGTCTATATTAATATCATTCGTACCCCACTCGTGCACATTCACTGCCCGCTAATAACATGCATTCCCACTGTATTGGGTTGACTGTAAAAGACCTCTTTCTGAGATAAGTCCGTCTTTGCTTACAACATTTATAAATGTATTATACCTATAATTTACGAGTGCAATAAAGAATGTATATGTGTTTGTTGTGGTATCATGCAAAAACTACTGCATCAAAATAAAATGCCATCTTGATCTTGAAATCCATGAAATCTTGAAATCCATGCGAACGATTTTTATAATATCATCATCATCTTCATACAAGCCCCTAACTACCTATCGCTAAACATAAGTCTCGCCCTTGGGGGATTTTCCCAATAGTTGCCACGCTTGGCAGGCGGATTAGCGGCGGATAGATATATATATTATTCTTGATTAAATTCCTTTATTGTATGGACATAATGTTTAAAAATAAAGGTTTTAAAAATAAAGATTTAAAAATATATAATTTTATCCTTCTCAATCGATGAACCTTCGACGCTATAATCATTCATCAAGCCCAGCAGACAAGGTCGTTCCCCTATATACAATGTAAGTTTACCAAAGGTTGCAAGATACAAGTGATTGTAATATGTGGTAAACTTAAATTATTATCAGAAAATTAATGTTAAAAGTCTATCTATTCGAATGAGAATAAATTTCGGATGACAATCATTACATTTAAGTATACGTTGATTTTTTTTATACAACTTATAATGACAAACAAGCTGACGGTCCACCTGATGAAAAGTGGTAGCTGTCGTCTATAGATATGAGCAGTACCATGGACATAACAGTGTATACTGTTTCGCCCATGATACCCCCCATGCGTCGCTATTCCTAAGAACTCAGGCGTTATTCCTCTGTACCCTGTAAATTCACGCCATATCCCACCTTTAAACCGAAACAACCATGCAAACACAACTGCTTAACGGTAGAAAAACGAATGGGGCAGAGGTGCCCAAGGAAACGACTTTTTTTACCAAGTCTCCCTCTGATAAAATCTGTCTGATTATAAAAGATAATTAAAATTTATTGTTCCATTTAATTTTTCAGTGACATTTAAAATCTTTATAACTAGACTACAGCATGGGGTTCTTCAAAAAAGGGTACGGATAATCTTTATGATCGGCAACGCGCGCATAGTGTGCCTGGTATTACAGGCGTTCATATGTTACGGTAATTGCTTACAATCAGGTGGGCCGTATGCTTGTTTGCTACCTCAGTGGTATAAAAAAATAGTTGTTTCCTGCAGAATCACTCGTGAGAATTAGTATATAAAGTTTTCTATATGTAGTGTAAGGATATTATTATTACCCATCTGTATACTAATTTTATAATTATTTAATATAAATAATTTATATAATTAATATGTATAAATTCATATTACTTATATTAAATTATTAATATAATTAGATCAAAATTACGTAAAATACAAACATTATAAAATAGCACTTTATAAATATCGCATTAAAAGCCATTTTTGCAGAAAATTGCCACATTACATGGAATGTTCATAAGATGTCCTTTTCTGTTTAACTATGGGCGACTGTTACCACTTTCCATTAAAGTGGGCCTATCAACTTAATCGTCATTCTAAGTATCAATAAAAAAAACTAGTTCCGTTTAACATTATAATCGTAAACACACGAAATACAGTTAAATAATTGCTTCCATAACTGTAAAATTTTTGAATCATGACACGTCGCTATTAACTTGTACCAAATACAAGTTTAGGTTAACTCCGGCCTATTATTGTGTGGAAATTGATCCATTATTGAAAAATTTCAAAGGTTGAAAAGGGCGCAACGCTAAATTGGAGGGTTCAAACTGATTGAGAATAACATTTTTCTGGGTTTCTGTTTTTACACTACACATATGGTACTTCATAATATTATCTACCTTCATTCTAATTTATATATATATAGTAGACAAAGAGAATTCAGTATAGTCATTTTCATAACTCGTTTCTTATATACCTACACATCGGTTTTGAAGACTTCGCTTTACACTCTGAGACCTCTCGAACCTATAATTGGTTAGTCTAGGCTAGAACTTTCCAAGAGGAGGCACGCCCCCTTGGGAGAGCGTAGAGTGACATAAAGAGGATGGGAGAAGGGGGGAGGCGTTAATACGTTTGAAATTTTAGAAGATAAATTAAAGCGTTTATTTAAACGCTTTTTAAACATCGTAATTTATTTCGAACTGACGATCAGAAGTCGATGTAAATTATCAGCGTATTTTATCACGCAGGTCGATTTATGAGTGTACCCGAAGACCCCCGCTGTAAAGCTAGTATAGCAGCGCTGTAGTCCAGCAACTGCTGCACAATGCTGAGTGGGGGACCTTTTTAACAAACAATGGGTTGCGTTTCTGCGATAATTAAAAATTACCTGTATGATGAATAGTGATAACTGTCTGCCTACCGTTTTGTTAAATAAACCTTATTATTGTTATTAAAACTGAATCTAGATTAAACCAACTGGTAAAAGGCATGCAATTTCAATTATATAGTTCTATGTTATAAAGTATATTAGTAAAACATGGTTTAAAACTATTTGAAATTTAATTTTTATAACTTAAAATTAAAATAAATAAAAGTCATTAAAATCTGGTTTTTTTTTTTGTGATAACAAAATCCGAGGAGAGGGAGGCATAAACAATGTCTGTTTTTTTTTCTGTAATAACAAAATTCGAGGGAAAGGATGCATGAAAATAATATGTATAATCCGGAGAGGCCCAACAAAAAGTTGGAAAACCCTGGTCTAGGCCTTTCTCAGTATTTGTATCTTTCTATTTTCGCATTGTGTATCTGTTTCATCTTTCTTTCCGCGAAATAATAAGCCATTAAAATAAATGTTTAATTTGTAATTAGGTAAAGGTATTTAAAATAAGCCTTCCCTACAGGGGAAGTTTTATTAGTAATTGCCAGTTGTCAGTTAACGAAATAATAAAAATTTATGAAATAGCAAGTATTTAAAGTATAAGAAGTTGACAACAATGGACAAATTTATGGATAATACATCGTCATCATATCGGCCATTAATTATTGAGCTTTCCCGTATTGAGAACATTTTGCCAATAGTTGCCACGCATGGTAGATGGATTAGCAACTGCGGTTAGACTTTGGTGATACATATCTTAATTATTAACTATCTTTTCCTGCGTCTCTGTCCGCGTAACAGACATTTATTGATAATCGGGTTAAATAAATGATATACGAAATTTCATGGCAACTGGTTGAGCTGATAAGATGCTAAGAGGCAACCAACAAACAAATAAACTCGCTTCCACGTTTCACGTTGATATCTACGACGCAGTGGCGGACATGTTACTTTGCTTGAATAAGATCCGGGGTTCGATTCTCGGTAAGGCCAATTTACGAACTTTTCTATATTGACTCGAGTCTGGGTTATGCCTCCATAAAACAGGCTATCCTTGAGCTACACGCTTAAGGATCAAGTGATTGGCGTCATTATATGACACTTATTATTATATTAAATATATGTATATATATTAGTAAAAATTTCTTTAAAGTTTTTTAGATGTGTTTGTGGGATTAGTTTCTATGAGATAATATTATTTCGTATAATTTCTAAATAAATCTTTTACAGAATACAAAACTCCTTTATGTTCTTGGCCATTGTTCTTAATACACTTTTGCTATTTTTATAAAAGTTTATCGGCACTATAGAAATCTTGAGAACAGCGATCGAAGAATTCTTTATAAAATTTTTCACCAACTAATCGCAGTTATCTTTTTACTGCGCAAAAATCATTTAAATTGAAAAAATTAACTACCGGGTATAGTAAACAGTGGCACTATTAATTATTATTAATTTATTGTTTGCATGGCTGTGTTTCGATTTGAAGGGTGGAATATGGCGTGAATTTACAGGGTACAGAGGAATAACAACTGAGAGGAATAACAAATGCATGGGGGGTATCATGAGCGAAACAGTATACTCTGTTATGTCCATGGTACTGCTCATGTCAATAGGCGACGGTTACCACTTTCCATCAGGTGGGCCGTCAGCTTGTTTGCCATTCTAAGTGGTATATTTTTTTTTTTAATTATCACAGAAACTCTAATTTAAATTTATAATTGAAATTAGTAACAAATCCAAACCAAACAAAATTGGCTCTGTTATCCTGGCATAGAATAGGGCACCCCTTCCATTAACTTAGTAGAAAGAGCGGCAGCAGCGTCCCTCTTAAAAATCTTTAAAAGTCTAACTGCGGTTGTCAACCCGCCTACCAAGCGTGGCAACTACTGGCATAACTTCCCTTATAGGGAAGGCTTATGTTCAGCAGTGGACAGTTAACGACTGAAATGATAAAAATGATGTTTTTATTTGCACTATTATTGGATATCAACGGAATGTCTTATGGTCGAGTTAATTATTTGTTTGTTTACATTTTCAGTAAATTTTATCGAACCACACTATACATGTGTTCTATCGCATAATATAGTGTATAGGGCGAATTGGTAATTAGATAAAGAAGGGATTGTTAGTAATGGGGTTGAATAACGCCGTTGCTTGTTTAGCAATTTATTATTATGTAGGAGGTCAATCTATACGCGGTCCCTTTTGGAAACCATCATGGTTCATTCCTGGCAAATTGGTCGTAATAAATCAACTGCCGTCTCTCACTAGTATATACCGATAGCGCAGGCGGAGTTACTATTGAATTGTCACTCATAAAAAAAAAATTTGTAGCGCTATTATAAATAAATTTCCGATATACACAACACCAAATGTCATTAATATTTAATCTGCACTCACAAAGATTCCATTGTTCAAAGAATTTAGTATCGCCCGAAATCTTTGTCACGCACACTTTCCATCTGAATACATAAATATTCGTGGTCGTATTTTACGAGTCCTCTACAATGTGGCGTGTGTAGTGACTGTATTAAAAACTTCCTTCCGCCCAAGTAACTACATGTTTGCATGTATTTGTTCTAAAAACAGTTACAAACAGACAGTGTAACCATTTTTATAGAGTTCACAATACTTGGAATGATCTGTTAAATAGAATGCTTTTATATGTGTATAGAGGTATCATCATCATATCAACCCTTAACTGTCCACTGCTGAACATAAGCTTCCCCCTTAGGGTGGTTTTGTCAGTAGTTGTCATGTTTAGCAGGCGAATTGGCAACCGCAGTTAGGCTTTGGAGATGTATTTAGAGAGACGCTGCTGCCCATCCCTCGCCCTCCCTTAGTCGCCTGAAAACACTTATTGAACAAAGCCTATTACATACTGAACGATTATTTGAATGACAAATGTGCATGGTATTAGCCGATCATGCACGAGTTGCTTAATAACCATGTACATTTACATTTAAATAAATACACGTAATGTTAACAGAGATTTAAAAAAGTAACTGTTGAGTTTATTATGGGCTGCTCTCAGGAAATAATAATTTATCCAACCCTACATTTATATAAAAAAAATACGATTTAAAAGTGCTGGTAAACAAGTCTATTTGAATGAAGATGATTTGAATTTGAATTATAAAATCTTTCACCTATAGATAGCTACATTATCAGTAAGTAATATAAACTCTTGAATTATATAGATAGAGCACCGATTCACAAAAACAGGTTAACTTTTTGTCAACTAATTGTCAAATTAGCTGACTCGATTTTTTATTAATGTTTTATATATTTACGCACACAATTTATCTTGACGTATTTACATTTAAATCTTTAGATGCAACATTTTTTAAATTGCTTAGCAATAAGACCGCATTTTGTACTACACTATACTTATCGAAAATTGTTCAACAAATCCTGTAATATTGGTGTAATAAAGTGTTAAATAAATAAATAAGAAAATAAAATAAATATAGAAGTTATAAAGGAATCACTCATAACTATTTATCACGTAACATTGTATAAAAAAGTTGACTCGCTTTTTTCGAAGTATTTGTATACACGCTATCTATATAATTAAGCATGGACGATATATTATATTCGAAAATTCTATCTACTCGTGAGAAGTCAAACTAGATCCTCAATAACTTTATATTTTTATTGTAGACATAAATCAATCAATCATTAATCTAATTGTATTTAAAAATTATCGTTTTCTTACCTCGTGGTATAAAGTCTAATAAAATATACCCTTAGGTTATAAGTATACCTATTTACTAAGTAGGTCTTAATTTTAAATTATTTCACTAGAAACATAAAATATTCTATAAATTAAAACAAAATTTTTAAATTACTTTCATCACAGTTAACTGCAATGAAGTTTAAAAGCGAGATAATTTAGTTTCAAAACTCCGTTCGTTCGAGTTCTTTGTTTTAGCAGACATTTTAAATAGACCGTTATGGCGGGCGAATATATAGAGGTGTTTATACTCTTTTATATGTACTTTTGATCATTGTCTATGTTATTTAGTTCTATTACAAAGGCAATGGAAATAATAATACAGCCAAAGTAGGGTTTAGGGAATAATTTGGACGGAACGTTTTGATCCTTGTATGTTAATACAGTACATATGTTTCTCTTATAATCCACAATAGTATACAAGTATAATAATCGTTGTTTTTAATATGGTAGTACTTTTAATAATATTTATAGATCAGTACGAATCCAATGGCATGTTCTTGTTGCCAAATCTAAAATGCATTCAAACGCAGACTGCTTTCTTTTGCTTCATGACAGGTCACGTAAGGAATTATGTAAAGTTATGGCATTAAATACACAATAGGATGCAAAAGAAAAAGTATAAGAAAATTAAAACTAACTATTAAAAAAATGGGCCATGTCTTGGGTAAAAATATGATAACTTTTTTTTAATCTGTATCAATTGATTAATTGCGCGCCAAAACAAAATTGTCATATAAATAAAATTAAAAAAGTTTTGATTCCATATTTGAATGTTCGATTTTTTCTTTTAGTTTTTATTACAAGATTAACGTTTTTATTTTTAAGAGTCTATATTATTGAGGTTTTATTTAATTTTAATACTCACTGTATGGAGTCATGATGCCTCTGCTTGCTACCTCTTTTGTACAGGGTGCCAGCTGCCGCCGCTGCGGCCAACAACGCTAGAGCTGCAGCTGCACACCCACCAGCCACGAACAAAACACCACTGGAGTCTCGAGACGCGTCACCAGCTAGCCGGGCTGTTTCATTGTGCGTCACTATTGATGACATACCTGTTCAGATTATTACAATGGTATAATTTTAAATTAATATATATTAATTTTATAATTTATGTATTAAATTATTATATATTTATAATATATAAATATGTTAAGTATTAGTTTATGATTCCTCAATTTTTGAATGCACCATCTACCTATTTCTCTTTTCGCCCAATGTATCGCCAATGTATACATATGTATAGACGTTGACGACATATAAATAAATAAAATACTAATTGATATTATAGATCGACGGATAGGCAGCAGTGTCCCTTCTAAAACATCACCAAAAGCCTAATTACGGTTGCCAACCCTCCTGCCTAAACGTGGCAACCCTCTTATGAGGGAGGCCTATATTCTGCAGTGGACAGTCAACAGTCGATATAATGATATGTTACACAGTGGTATCTAGTCTGAAATTAGGCGAAATTTATAGTGTAGAAATTAAATAACTGATCAAAATTTTTAGTTGTTTTTATATATTTTCTTTAATTATACATTCTAATTATTAACTGATATTATACAAGTGTACTGGTTCCAATAAATTCTTAACTTTTCCCTTAAATATTTTTAATGGGTAAACAAACAAAGAATTACAAAACAGTTCTCCAAATAAAGACAATTATAATGTTCCCAACGAATAAAAATATATCTAAAGAAAACAAGTATTTAGTTAATAAACATTTGTGTTTACCCTAATCTACATATATCTCATGTATTTTCTATATAGACTAGAATACAGAACCTATTAAATAAATATCGATACGAATAGAAACAAATTCCAACATTTCGAAATACGAGGAGAGTATAAAGTGAAGTGTATACATGAATGGTAAAATCTAAATAGGTTTTATATATTTTAAATCAATTTACAGTCTTACTAATATAATATAATCTTACTAATATAATTAAATTGTAACTAAACCATGTCTTTACATTGGCATATATTTAAGAAAAATGGACATGAAGTGTCTTAATGAGAGCAATATAAATGAAACAATCATTTTTAGAATTTTGTGTGTCTATCCGTCTATCATTTCAGTTACGGTATATGATCTTGATACGCCATGAGATTATGTTATGTATTTCAAAAATCTACGGGTACAAAGGTACAAAAGCTATTATATCATTATTTTAACGAAATCAGTAATGTTCTTATTATGAGTATAATACTTGTTCACAAAGATACATATATTTACATGTGTACATACACATCTAAATATAATTCTCTCTCTCTCTCTGTGTGTGTGTGTGTGTCTTATACGAAAATAGAGAAAAATATTATTACACTGTTTTAAATATTTAGATAAAATACATTACATTTGCTAAAAAATAAAATTATTTTTATTATTTAATATGGCAATAAGACATTTTCTAATCTTTCTTACTTTTCTTTTGTAGGTATAATTAAAATTTTAAATCTAAAACGTAATCGTTCGGGTCTATGTACCTGCGGACAAAAAATCCATTCCAGAAATTTAAATGCTATTTATTCAGCCCTCGATTCGGTCTTTAAACTGTGGTTTTAAAACACGTCCCAAGAATAGAAAATGTCTTTAAAAACACTGAAAAGGCACAATAATAAAGCACACTTAACGCTCGGGAAGGGCAACAAGAAATTTCCAAGTCAAATAAAAGTACAACAGAACAATCGATACTTCCTTGTAAACACATTAAGGGGAAGAGCCTCCGGCCCCAGATACGCTTGTATCCCTCTCAAATATCCTGTTGCGTCTACTAAACCGTCTACATGCTAATAAAGTATGCGAGGGAGTGATTTGTCGAGTGAGCCAGCCAATCCAACAATTTTAATAAAACTCTATTCTGCTTTTTTTTAGAAAATAATATGTGTATAATTTTTCTCTTTGCAATTTTTTTTCTATAAATTTCTGAGTGACAGCTCCAATAAAGGTTTTGGCTGTTTCAAAGAGTAGATACGTTTTCTGAGAAAAGTAATTTTGAGAGAATATCTTTGAAAATATAGCAGAGCCAGCGTTTTGAAGATAGAAAAATAACATGTTTGCATTAGATGATTTTACACGAAAACATCGTTTACAAGGAAAAAATTATGAACGTTGTCTGATTTCTCATAATTCATTTATTCTAAATGGAAGGCAATCGAATATAATCTCTTAACATTAAGCAATTTCGGGTGCATAATTTGCCTATTTATCCACCAACAAGCAACGCAGCTCTTAAATAGGAAATGAATCAAAAAATTATCCATTTACAAAGAAAAAGTAAAATTTATTTTAAATATGTATTAAGGATAAAATAATATTCTACTTCCATGCATCTACAGAAAAAAAGGATATTGTTCGTTTTCTAATTTTTACATAACAAACGTTATCGCAGATTACTAGATGTTATGTATGTAGTATTATGTACAGATATTCAATCATCAATATACATATACAATACATTAAGAGAACATAGTGTATGCTGAAATAATTTCAAATTCTCAATAAATTCCCCAACTGTACTTACGCCACTATACTACCAATTCCATCGTGCATTGTGCGAAATTTATTGTTATTATTATTGCGGTAGACAGAGAAAGTGTTCTAACTTCGCTTTTATTGCTTTATGTGTTTTTAGTGTAGGTACCCGTACCTACCATAGCTCGTTAGACTGATTTGTCGAAGGGGAAATAAAGTGGTTAAGTTCGGTCGTTTTTCAATTGCTAGAGCGTTATTAAATTCGATAAGTTCATATATAAACTTTTCACATATTCGTACAATTTGTATTGGTGTATATTTTGTTTTTATGCAACTTAGAATGGCAAACAATCTGACAGCTTATCTGATGGTAAGTGGTAATGTTTGCCTATAGGCATGAATAAAAAAATTATAAAAAAATGTGAGTACTCTATAATTTATAAATATAGCTGTATTATAATTGTTAGTTCAATCTTAATATACTACATTAATTAATTAAAAGTATTGCAGTTGCTGTTAAACTGCTGGTACCTAGAATGTTTATTATTTTAAAGTCATAAATATAATAACTTAATTAGATTTAGCTCTTATTAATATAAGATTATGTTTCGCTTATTTAGTAGAAAACCATGTAACATAATACAACCGAATTGAAAAATTTTTCTTTTTGAAGTCGATTGATAAATTATTATCAACATAATAGCGTAAGCGTTATTTCATGCATCTAAATAAGTATAAGGAATTTACTTTATTGAAATGTGTATTTTAAAAAACCTTCAAAAGAAGAAGGAGATAGATTCGATAGTATTTTTAACTTCGTCATTTATAAACCGATTTGAAAAATTCTTTTTTTTATTATCTAAAAATCTATTCTTTCAGATTAGTTTGCAAAGAAATTTTATCAAAGTCGGTTTAGTAGTTTGGTTTTTAAATCAAAATAACTGGTTTTGTCAGTACTAAAGACAGAGTTACTTTCTTTTTCTGTGGAACAAAATCTATTTGTGTCATATATATTAAGTAGGTAGGTACTAGACGAATGGAGTATTCATCACCGTCCTATTTCGTCATATCTTGTGGGATTTCTTGGAATTCTTAATGTTCTTATTTCTTTATAACTAACATACGAAATAATATACAAATATCTGACTAATCTGCCTTAGAATAAAAATCATAGATGGTATTTTTTATTCATCTACCGAAACCGGTTTGGAAAGTGGCCAGGACATTATTTAAATATGAACAAATGGTACGGAGTAATTAATAGTACAAACAATAATAGTCTCCGGAACCAGTGTGGATATATGAGTCAAGTTACAAAAAGGGATGTTATGAATGTTGTATTTTGCAAAAAAAAAAATATCGGGACAAAACTTTCTACCGCTGAATATAGGCCTCCCCCATAAAGGTAGTTTGCCAGTAGTTGCCACGCTTGACAAGCCAATTGACAACTGCAGTGTAACTTTAGAGATGTTTTAAGAGGAGTACTGCTAACCATACCTCGACAAAATAGTATACCGATAAATAAATGTTTGCTCGCTCGCTCCATAAATTAAGGACAGTACTCATAGTTAAGTAAAATTGTATCCGTACATATGTATACATAAATATGTATATAAATATATACATACACAATACAAATATAGATATATAATACAACATACATAAATCTAAGAAGAACTAAAGAGGATTAAGTGATTATTGGGATAGGCAATTGACAATAGACAAAATATTACAGAAATGTAATTTTTTTTTAAACAGCCGAATATTGAGCGCGCTATATAGCGAGTAGGGAAGGAGTTTCATAAACGAACTACTTGCATAGAAAAAGATTTGGACAATAAAGAGAAGAGTAGGAAATTTGAGACTTTTGTCAATTGACTCTCCTATGCGTATATAATTACATTAAAGATGGCTTTGTAATAAGTTTAATACGATTTGCTTACCTTTCCAACAAATTTTGTTCCTTTTGAATAATAATCTGACGTCCTTGTGCGCGCGATCTGGTGCTGATATATTGAGTTGGATGGTCACAAGTATTTCAGCACTCCGTGTGCCGGTGCATGGCAAGCGAACTCTGGATAAAGAAAATATGTCATTATTACTAGTTAGAGCTTTATAACTGATTTAATTGGGTGGCAACACTTTACTGATCTTTTGTATTCATAAATGTTATGATTTTTTTTAGTTTACTTTAGTAAAAAGTTCCTCAAAAAGGGTGTGTTGAGGTTTCTTCAGGCTTCACAACCCATTCATGACATCTTGAAGGTACAAATACAAGCCATATGCCAAAGACCTGTACTTATAGGACTGCATTTCAATTAAAGGAGAGGGCATAGCAATAAAATTACTGAATACAAAGGTTGTTGACCTTAAATATACTGTTTCTTGTTTGCCATTCTACGTTGAATAAAAACAAATTCGGTTTTCAAAAGAGTTTACAATCTTCAAATTTACAAATGACACAATAGTCCTTCCATTACTTCCTTCAAGAGAAGACTGAAATCACATCTTTTAATCAATTGTACATGATAATTCTATGCACTTATACATATGCATATATATTTATCTATTTACTTATTTACGTATTTATTTATTCATTAATTTATTAATGTATTTATTTATTTACATATTTATTCACAATAGTGTTTGATGTATTTACATTATTTTCACTGGTACCTTTTCTGCACTGGATTACCCAAATTAAATCATTTTCTCTCTAACTACACTGGGTTGGCTGGAAGAGATCTCTTTCAGAGATAAGTCCTCCCTTGCTAACAAGTTGTTAAACTAATTGTCGAATATATTGTTTAAGTGTAATAAAGAATATATATAATATGTATAATAATTTACCTAAAAGTCTGCAACGTGGTAGGTACCAGGCCCCGCTCGGAGATATTGACTTGTGGCGGCAGCATGGCGCCTCGGCTCTCGTAGTCTATGCCCATCACATATGGAAGCTGTACAAAACAAACAATCATAACGTTATTGTTACATTATTGCTAAATTGTCGCTAATTTGTCCTTATAATTAACTACAAAATTCAAATTGAATCGTCAATTCCGTCCAGTGCTGTCCGAAGCGACTTTTTATTTCTACTCAAATGACAAATATTTTTTCTACAAGTGGATATAATATTTCTTTCAGTTTTACTCCATTAGAATCTTGTGTCCTTTTTCAGTACATTCATCATAATAATTATCATATTACCCGGTAACTGTCCACTACTGAACACAGACCTTCCCCTTGGAGATTTGCCAGTAATTACCATGTTTGTCAGGAGGATTAGCAACCGCAGTTAGGTTTTGGTGACGTTTTAAGAGAGACGTTGCTGTTCATCCCTCGATCACTAAAATCTCTTAGTCACCTCCTTCGACATCCACGAGAAAAAAGGAGAGGCCCATTCTATGCCGGGACTATACGGCAACATTTTTACATTGACATCACGTTACCACTATATGAATGACAAAAAAACGCCATTCTTTGATTTACTGCGCTAACTTTTTTATGTCATTTTATTACTTTCGTTGGTGTATCTAAGTATGCCCAAAATTACGCCATCAAAAATAATAAATAGCGACTCTAGCAATACTAGCTCCATGATGCCCTAACCTATGTGAGTTGAAAATTACAATAAAGAGATCTCGGGTAAGAAAATATTCTAGCAGATTACATTAGTTATCATATTGGTTTGAATATCTCTGGATCGTTGGATCAATTTGGAAAACTATAGTTATATTTAGACTTGGATATTCTGTATTGAGTTGCAAATATTACATCTATATAAATCCGTTCAATTGTCTAATCGTGGTATGTTGAGTCAAAGATGTCCTTAGAAACTTTTACATCGACTCGTATATATCTATGTATAAAAGAGGATACTGACTAACTGGCTGATCCATATATCAACGCACAGCTGAAATTACTGAATCTAAAATTTTAAGATTTTGCAAATAGGTTCTTTGTTATAATACAGATAAACAATAAGAAAGAGATTTTTAGATTTCACCCCCTAAAACGAGGGTTGGAACTTTGTATGGAATGTCATCAGTTTAGAAGTTAGACACGTGAAATTTTAGAGAACAAGAAATCAAATACCACACGAGAGCAAAGCCGAAGAAAAAAGCTAGTTTTATACTAATAGTAGAAACACCAAATATACATTTATAACTACAGTCCATAAAGAAGTGAAGACCATGACGTTACGTGAAGTCACGTATATTATTGATGCAACTTTGTATATTTATATTTCGAGGTCGGAGAGACTGTTGCATCTATGGATATTCATTAATACGAGTACGTCATGTATAGATATAATAATACAAGTAAAAAATATAAATATTTGGATCTTAAAAAACAGCAATTTCAATGGTTACAACATGAATATTAACTGTATATTGGAAAGTATCTATAACATATATATACCTACTTACAAATGATAAGCACGCGGAAACCTTTTTCTATTTAGCCACGTCAGAGCTCTTTGAATACAGTTAAGGTATTCCAGAAACTTCTGACATTAGAGGACGCTATTTCACACGTAGCTAACACTGAATAGTAATAGAATAATACGGAAATCATTACTATTTCCATCTGTAATTGGTGGAATGTCCATAAATTATTTACAGGTGGTAGTCACCCTCCAATTTTAACGTTTAATGGGACCAATTTTCACAAATGAGCTGTCAATCGATTTGTTGGCGTCACGGCAATGGTATAGTATCGTTTAATTTCATATATTTGTTTGTTTTATTTTTTTTTTTTTATATTTATATGGCAACAATATTATAAAATGTATTTAATACAAATGCATATTAAAATACCTATCTTAATCAACAATACATATTATCCTTATTAAAATTAAGGTGACTTTGTTTATCCTTATAGTGCCTTAATGGCTTTACCTTACACTATAAAATTTGGTATACATGTACTATATGCTATGGAGATGAATATAGGCTAATTTTTATCTCGATCAGTAAATATATCCTGGTCACTGGTCAAAAGCTAGTATTTTTTTTTTATTGTTAGTAAGGACGAGGAGCAGACATTCCACCTGATAGAAAGCAGTTAGCGTTACCATAGACACCTGCAACACGAGTTGAATTGCTTGTATGTTGCAAGCCTTTATTATGTATTTGCACGTTGTTTACACATATTTTAAATACGCAATCAGGACTTAAGACGATGTAAAAGCCTTTACAGGTAAATAGTACCTACATATCTGCTTCTTTATTACCCACGTTAAGTCTCTATTGTGTATTTAAAAAATATAGAACACATTTTATAAAAATTATGTTTTTCTTAATCGACGTGAACCTTTGTTATTAACAAAACATGGTTTACTTAGACAATTATTTCACGAACTACAAAACAAATTTTACTTTTAAATGTTGATTAAAAGTCAGCATCAGAAAAAAAACGTAACAAGAGCAATAAATATTCGTTAGGCGCCGCTGTAATAGGAATACTTAATCGGACCCTTTGTTTCACGAAATTAAATCGCATTGAAACCAAATTGGAATGTACGGGACCAACGACAGTTATAATTAAGATTTTTTTATACAAGTGTTTTACACAATAATCAATGTTAAAAGCATTAAATAGTATAAAATAGTTTACTAATTAATTAAAGAGAGATAAACAATCTATATTTCCTAAAATCGACTTTTTTTTGCTCTAAAGTGACTATAAATCTTAGTGTATGGTCACAGAAAAAAAAAAAACAAGTTTTATTCTTTTATCTATGATTTAGTGATATACAATATGGTCTATGCCGTGTGGTCTCCGCGTAAAATGGACCATCCCTTCCTTTCACGTAGGTATCGTAAAAAGCAGCTCAGGGAACTTAATAGTCAAGAAATGGACAGCAGCATCCCTCTTGCTCTAACTGCGATTACCAAACCGCCTGCCACCTACTGGCAACCCCTCCTGCCCTTATGGAGGAGGCCTATGTTCAACAAGGGGCAATTAATGGCTGATAAGATGATGATGATGATGAATACAGTCGGTAACGTGAACGTGACACCTCTAGTGTTACAGGCGTCCATAGGCTACAGTGACCGTTTATCTTCAAACGGGTTATATGCTTGGTTCATATAAGGGATCTTAATAAAGCAATAGACATCAATACAATATTTTTTTTATACTTTTTGTTTGTTGTCTGTCTGTCTGTGTCTGTGTGTTCCGGCATCGCATTAACACTTGCAGCAAATTAAAAGTGGATTTCACAGTAATGTTCCTGAAGACCTTGCTTAATATTAAGTATATATTTTATTTCGATACACCATTTAGAAGTAGATAGCTGCTTCTTAAATCCATGCATACAAACTTGCAAGCAAATACTAGTTTAGAGTAGTTTCAAAATAGATATTATAATATTTTCTCATTTTATTTTTCTAAAGACCTACTTTGAATCCTGCATATGATCGTAGGTTATTTTATATAAACTTTTAAAGGCGTCATATGAGGTAAATGAAATCACAAGTAAAAGGTAAGGTTTCTAAAAATTTATGTTATAAAATACTAGACAGCTAACATCTGAAAACGCGATCCAGAACACCTAATCTCGTGCCAAATTAAAAAGTCTATTTAAGATATTTCCTAATCAGATAATCGAATCCAAGATCTTAATGCGGAACAATTTATAAATATTATTGTTAAAAGTTTCATAAGCACACATTATATTTTAATATAATAACTAATAGTTTATCTTACATGTAATTAGATTACGCGAGCAAGAACCTGATTGCGTGCCTCAACGTAAACGCTCGTGCTCGCGTTACAGTCACTCATGACAAAGGATCATGGATTGATTCCGAACCCAGTCGAACTTTTTCGATCTAATTACACACAATATATAAATATCTTTTTTTTTTATATATAAGAATGGCAAACAAGCTGACGGTGATGGAAAGTTCCTCGCCTATTGACTGAGCAGTACTATGGACATAACAGAGTATACTGTTTCGTTCATGATACGTCCCATGCGTTGCCCTTCCTGAAGACTCAGATGTTATTACTCCCACCCTTCAAACCGAAATACAGCCATGCAAACACAACTGCTTTACGGTTGAAACACGAATGGGACAGAGGTACCCAAGCAAACGACTTTTGTACAAAGTCCCCTCTGGTAAAAAAAATGTCATAATAAATAAATACTTACAGGTCTTCTACCGAGCGCTTGCCACATGAACTCGAGGTCAGCTATATGCGCCGGTACCGGTACTATGAAACCGGTAGCATAAGTGTTTACCACCCCTTCCCTAACATAGTACAGTTCCGCATCTAGACCTGTAACAAAAAATTGAATATTTGTATAATCCAAGCTATTGATATATCACATAACCATATTTAGATGAAATGGATGTTTTAAAATCGCATAGGGGTTAATATTTCCCATTGGCAATCCATATATGTATTGTAATATGAAGTAATGTGTAAACCTTTTTAGTATTTATATATAGATATCTTCTCTTATTATTAGCTATATTAAGCAAAGATCTATGTCATCTTTTTGGTCGAGCCAAGCCTTATATTAATTAAGTCCAAAAAAATAACGAATATTTTCTTAGATACCTTATCTTTTTTCCTATATTACTACCATAATAAGTTAACAAAAAAAAAAAAAAAACTAGACAACGTTTGTACATGGCAGATAGTTAAGAAAAAATAATTATTAAAATTTTCAGAAATTTTGTCGATTTTTCTGTACGTTTGCTACGGTACCACTTAAAAACTACCAAATCAAACTGGACATGCTCTTAATCATTATATTCCTAAAAGCTTTTTTACAACACAGGGGGCAAACTTGATGCATTATCTGAAAATGGTCTATTTCATTGAGTTTCTTTCTTTTGATCCACGTTTACAAAGCAGTGGTTTTGCACACTATTTCACAATAAAGAGGCGAAAGGGATAATAAACAGTTGTATGTGATCGAGATTGTCATATCTCTAATGTTATAATTATTCTTTAAATTTTTTCTTGAGTGAATCCTTAGGGGAATCTAGAATGCAAATTAAAATCTAAAATAATTACATTAAATTCAATAATTGTAATTTCGTATAAAAAAGAGAGTGATTAATAAATTCGTAAAATAATAAATATGGAATTTGATTATAGTCTTTAGTACAAATAATTTCCATACGAATATTTCCCCTCGAATAACTAAAATACCTTCTTCTTTATTTATTCTCAGTGCATCTCTCTAAAAAGGAAATCTTATTATTCTTTTTGCACCATTACGAACGATTGCACAAAAAGCAGATGGATGTTCTCCCTAGTGCATGTTCGATTCCCGTGGGGCATCGTGGCAACGTCAAATTATCCAACTAACTTTATTTGCTTAGCCAAAAAGTGCATTTCTGTTTAGTTACACGGAGATGTTTTGATACTTTATTTTTTAGAAAAGAAATTATCAATTTCATAGTACTTTTATGTGTCTGTACATTATGCGATATCTTCATAAATTTATGAACAGATTTCGATAATTCTCTTTGAATTTTACAGTTTTACTTGTATGTTAGTTTCTTATTTATACAAATTGTGTTGATATTAAAGTTAATATCTTTTTTTATTTAATTTTATAAATATATAAATTAATTATTTCAAATTATTACAGTGGGTGGAGATTTAAAATAATTGTATAAAATTATTGATTTTCTTTTAGGTAATATCTAATATTTTTTTTCTTAATAGGCTTGTCAGCTTTAACTAAAATCTGTTATTAACATTAAAAACATTTTTACGTCAATTAATATAGAATTTCAATACAAGATCTCATTTTTTGGTATTAACTTATAAATGTATATGCAGATTATTAAGGTAAAGAAAGTTAGGAATATAAGTCCATGATAAATATAATATATCATGACAAACTTACATTATACTTCTTATTATTTTCTGAAAACGTTTATTGACATTCTCCTGCATATAATATTAAATTTTATGAATATTTGTATAAAGGATCAATTCATATAATCCGCGTACATATTATAGGCGTCAAAGCGGACGAGACAGTGAAACGGGCTGAATATGAAGTGGCACTTTGCACAATTGATGAATCACTACCCTTATTTGGGACAGAGAGCCCCTACCTTTAAACACTCTGGACAATCGGCTTCATATAAAAGTCTATTCAGTTGTAAAAGCTTTACACCTATTGTAGGTTACCTAAGCTATTTCGAATTTGGAACTAACTAGAAATAACGTGGCAGAAAAATGTTTGATTGCATCTTAGAAATTGTATAAGTTTGAATAATTTATTCCAAAACTGAAACTTAAAAAGGAACAGGGAGGATTTTAATCAATTGATGTATTAATACATTAAAACTATTATGAAAGAAAATTGTGTTAAGTATAGAAAAGAATCTGTCTCATGTAGTTATTATATGTAGTTCGACATAGTATTTATAAAAAAATCTTTTTTATATGTTTGCTGGATATCTATCAAAATCTATAGTCTTCTTAACAAATGTGGATATATACACTCAAATGCATTATCCTCACCCCAATATCAGTCCTATAAAAAGCAACAAAATAATTATAATGAACCTCAAATGAAACTAGAACCACCATTAAAACAACATTGACAATGCGTCTAAATATAACGTAACAAAGCTTTATTAGCGTAATTATCATCAAACTCAAGCTTAAATTATTTTATTACATACATTACATATATAGAATACCCTTTGAGGGTAGCTCGTTATTAAAAGCATAATGACAGAGCGAGCGCCACGCCTCCAGCCGTACCTCTGTATCAATGACTCAAAGCAAAATGTAGCTACACAAACCGTTGTGACAACGAGACGCTGTTACCCTTAAAGAACATTGGAAGAGGTGTACGTGCTTCAAAACGCATGTAGTTTAGTAATTAATTTGTCGTTAATTATTATTAATAATAATAACACGGTATCACATATATTAACACGAAATGTATCATTAGTAAATTGACTCTGCAGTCAATAATTCCCATTTTATCCCTCTACTGGCGACAAAATTTGTTAGTTATATATTTTATAAGTCTATCAAGATTAGAATATTGTTAAAATTTATTTAAAATGCATCACATTGTTTTTTTTTTTTTTTTATACGCAAACAAGCGCCCGTATAATGGTGAACGGGTGCTATAGATTATGGATGTCTGCAATACTAGGGATGTTACGTGCACTTAGATAGGATGGTAAATGAATTAGATTGAATTATTTTTTATAATCTTAAAAAAAATACTTGTACTGCTAAAGTTATGATGCAATTTTATAAGAAAATGCTGTTGAATCTGCGATAAATATCCTTTTTAACCGTTTTCAAAAAGAAGGAGATTCTCAATTTGTTTGAGTTTATATATGTTACTATCCCATAACTCCGTCAGTCGTAAACAGATTTGGTAAATTCATTTTTATTTGAAAGAATATACTTACAATTGGTTCAACAGTTTTCTTTTTTAATCATAATCAAAATAACTGGTATTGCCATAATTGAACTCGCTATTTTTTTTGTGATAAAAACTCTTGAATTATCATTACTCTTACTTACATTTACTGTCCTCTACTACATATGTATCTTCGTTATTTCTTTATTCATTTTATTATATTTTAAATTACACAAACAGATGATATTATAATTTAGGATAAATAAGATCTATCTATCTATCTATAATTTGGGATAAATAATATGTATATATAAAAAATTTTAGGCTTTATATAAAATATTTTATTTATATTATTTTGGATATATAGGCTCAGAAACACGCACATGACACCCCTTGAGTGTTGCAGATTATCATAGGCTGTAATAATCGTTTACAATCAGATGGACTGTATGTTTATTTACCATCTTCTTAGTATAAAAAAAAAACTTATAGAAAATTAATTATCCATCCATATAACAATGACATGCACCGTTAATTTAATAATTAATAATAAAAATAACAATATTTAACAGTAACCGCGAGTTAAATACTTACCGGTAAACAAACAACAGCGACACACTCCATTTTCAACAGTTAATGAACCATTCCAGACGAAACTGCCAAATGATACGACACCGCTGAGCCTTTAATTATGGCTCACCGAGACATTGTGGGGCTAATGAGAGGTTTTCAAGTTAATACGATTGGTTTGTCTTCTAAAATAAATGAAAGTAAAATTAGATACGAGACATGCAATCTGAAACTATCACGAGCATTCGATAGTAACACTTTTTTTACAATATAAGGGAACTGTGCTGTGTGGTCCCGGTATAGAATAAGCTACCCCTTTCTTCCCAGTGAGTGTCGTGAAAGGTGACTAAGAGTGAAGTTTATGGTCAAGGATTGGGCATCAACGTTCCTCTTAAAAGGTCACCAAAGCTTAATTGCGATTGCCTATTCTAAACGTGGCAATTACTGGCAAAATCCCCCTTATAGGGGAGGGCCATGTTCGGTAGTGGACAGTTAACGGTTGATATCACCATCATCATTATAGGGGGATGATGTTTTACAACCTAGAGGACAACCGAACATGCAAATCGCCTGATGATAAGTAATTATCATTGCCCATAAGCAAATCCGCAATATCAGAGGAATTGCAAGCGTGTTGCTGGTCTTTTAGTAAGCAATATGCTGTGATCAAAATTAATTAAAGAACTTTAGTTATCGGCTATTCTTAGAATTCGTTATAGGAAATAACTTGAAACCCAGTATTAATGCATAACAACAGCATGCTGGTAAGGTAGTGCAGAATATTATAAATGTTAAAATGAGTTTGTTTGTTACCTTACAGCTCCTTAACGGCTTAACCAATCTTGATGAAATTTGCCAGTTTCTAAGTCTGTCCGGAAAAAAAAAAAAAAAAAGAGGAGTGGGGAGGACAAACGAACATGCAATGCTTCAGTTCTGGTCACCTGATAATAAATAATTATCATTGTCCATAAGCAAATCCGCGTTGTTGCTGGTCTTTTAGTAAGCAATATGCTGTTATCAAAATTAATTAAATAACTTTAATTGTCGGTTATTTAATTAATTTGTTTAATAAAAATAAAAATTGAATTCTTGACAATGCCCCTGCCCAACCTCTCTTGTTGTCCGTGAGTTTTTGAGTAAAAATTCCATTAACGAAACAGCATGCTGTGACTTCTTCTTGTTCCCAAAAACCAAATTGGTACTTCGGGGGTGCATTTGGGGGAATATTATAAAAAAATGTTAAAATGAGGACTTTGTTTGTTACAATGCATTATGTCACAGCTCCTTAACGGATAAAATTGATTTACCAATCATAATTTTTAAAAAAATTTATACGTAGTTGACAAAC